AATACGTCAGAAGTAGAGAATAAGCCATAGACTGCTAATACGTCAGAAGTAGAGAATAAGCCATAGACTGCTAATACGTCAGAAGTAGAGAAGAAGCCATAGACTGCTAATACGTCAGAAGTAGTGGCCGTTAGAGAGTAATCTATTTACACCTGACAAACTTTGAATGACATCTGACAACCTTTGTACTCAATAACACCTAATCAAATTGGACAAAGATATTAAAATCCTACTAACACTATAGTTCGGCCAGGCATGGCCAGGTGGTTAGGGCGCTCGACTCGTAATCTGAGGGTCGCGGGTTTGAATCCCCGTCACACCAAACATGCCAACCTCTGCCTTTGCCTGGTTCCAAGTCCAGGATGAGAAAGGGGGGGAGGGTTGGGCGCGGTGCTAGCAACTCCACCCCGTAAAAACCAACCTGCTACAAGTAACTGCAACAACACCTTCCGTTGGCGAGGTGTTGTTGCGGCCCTATGCTCCACTGGGAGTTTACAGGAATAAAAAAAACAAAAAAAAACACTACAGTTCGAAAATTAGTTTTACATTATTGCCAAACATTTTTGACGCTCGTATACCCACAGTGTTCGACATACTATTTTTGTTATCTGCTCTGCATAGCCAGATGACTTATTCTACTACATATATTGAAATCAGAAAAAGAAACGGTAGTCAGAAATATATATATATATATATCCCACATCAAAACCGAAACCGGCAACATTAAACATATACCAACTTCTGAATACCACCAATGTCTGGATTTTACCATTCACATAATAAGTATTCACTCTTTCTACCCATTCTAGATACTTGAGGTATCACGGAACGTTTGGGGAGAAAACCCGTTCCACGTCTAAACAGCTTGATCCCACCACGCCTAGTCCAGTTAACCAAACCCCCCTCTATCACACTTTCTTTAACCTGAACGTGATAGCTTTCTAAGAATCACGCAACTTTCTCGAAACAAACCTTTTAGTCCCAGGACATTATCAAGGCAAACGTTGGTCTGAGAAGACTAATTGTCCCCTACAGTGTTTTTTGTTCCGAAATAAACTGAGTGATAAATAAGTGATTGGTAAATATCTACCACATTCTGTAAACGTTTATTTAGTAAATACGCTATAATTAGCTACAAAGTCCACGTTGCTGATTTACTGAAGGATGAAAACTGCAGGAAATAAACAACATGATGGATTTCACTACAATAATAATTTCGACAGTCGCTTAGAAATCAAATTATGAGGCGTTTCTATGTTATAATCACGGCTCAATGTAGACCGGGTTTTTCAGTACTGGAGGATTCACGTGATCACAAGATACAGTGCACCGTCTATATCTAGTACTAAAATGTAAATAACAGTTTAAGTTTCTCTCTCTCTTACTAATTTACACAGTTATTTGTTCCATTTCAGCTTTCGGTGTTAAACATGCGAGAAACACATAAAGTTTGGAACTTTCAAAGCAACCTTAGGACTAGACGTTTAGAACTCATTACATTTGGGTCCCTGATGCGTCAATGTTTTCTAATTCAGGAACGGAGTCTTTGTTCTTGAACCCTTTCCTTCAGTATTTACACTCTAACCCATGAGCTCCCACACTTTTTCAGCACAAAGCCTCCCCCACCCCCATCAAAACAATTCGCATCTATTATATCTACGGATACTGAGTACCTTAATAGTTTTGTGCATTTGCTATGGCTACCGCGACACTTTTCTCTATACGAAGGAAGAATATTTGGCTAAATTAGATTTGGTACTTTTTTATTATGATTGCTCCATGATTGGTCAGATTTATACTTGTGTTCAGTCTTTTAAGCTATTAAATGTATTGTTAATATTTCATATTGTATGTAGTTTGTAATTGTTTCTTTCGTGTTTCGTTTTCGTACTATGCTCTCTTTCCATACTGCTATAACTTTATAGAGTTTGTCTGTTGAGTTAAGCCACTTCTGGCTACGAGTTTTCACCCCTGTGTTGAATGCTTTTCAAAGCAAGACAGTTGAAAGTCAAATTACCCATCGGCTTTTTAAAACACTTTTATGTACCAGATTTTCTGCAAGTTCAATTTATATGCTCTTTCATAAAAGGTGAATGATTTCACACAGATTTTGGTTAGTTTTTTTTTTATTCCGGTAATTACCGCTGTGGGATCTATATGCTCTTTCATAAAAGATGAGTGATTTCACACAGATTTTGGTTATTTTTTTTACCCCGGTAATTACTGCTGTGGGATATATATGCTCTTTCATAAAAGATGAGTGATTTCACACAGATTTTGGTTAGTTTCTTTATCCCGATAATTACCGCTGTGGGATCTATATGCTCTTTACATAAAAAGTGAATGATTTCACACAGATTTTGATTAGTTTTTTATCCCGGTAATTACCGCTGTGGTATCTATATGCTTTTTACATAAAAGATGAGTGATTTCACACAGATTTTGGTTTGTTTTCTACATCGAATTTTGTAATAGTAAAAGAACAACATAAAATTAGTGAATATAATAATATATATGGACCACACCGGTAATGAATGGTTTAAAAACACCGGTAATTTGAGAGATAAACAATATCATTTCAATACAGATTAAAAACGCCTTTTAACTCAAAGGAAAAACATATCTTTCAGTTATTACCCTAAGTTTTCATTTAACACCTTGATTACAGGTTTCAGCTGCTAACCTGGTAACTACTGATAACTTTGACTTTAATTATTTATATTCGGTGCGTAGACACATTAATTCACGACTCAATAGCACAAAACAAAATGACACAGTTAGAGAGTAGTTTTTCTTAGATACATGTGCCACCAAAACTGAAGTCCCTTTATAGTTTTTTTGTAAACTGTCATCCCCACCACATCCCCCATAAAGTTTCTCTGGCTGCCGTATATTGTAGTTTAATATACCTATGTATAGTTAGAAATTCTTGTATTGTTTTGTTACCTGAGAAACACTTTTATTTCACCCAAATGGTTAAAGAGCCCGGTCAGAGACCCTTATACTTCAAGCATAGCCGTCTCTAATTTTGGAGGTGCGGACCAGAGATAAGGCAACTAGTCGGAAGCACTCGCCGCCTGAGGCTATCACTCTTGATCGAAAAACAGGATTAAATAACACCTTTAGAATACACTCACAGCGGAAGGTGTAATGTATGTTTGGTAGTACCACGTCTCGATCCCAAGATTCTCGATTCCTTAGTCCAATACTATCGAGTCCGGAAATCCGTGTAACAGTAGCAAGTAAATAGGTCATTATTACTGGAAATGCGCCATATAATCTATAACAATCATCTACTATTAAGCAATCTTACTTTCAAATCCACTCACGTTACGATTTCATTTGTTGTTATTGTCAGCCATCTCGACACTCTGTGGTTGCTAAAGTGTGGTATAGCTCCCAACCAGGTCTAATGTTTGATGTGGTACTTTCAGTATTTAGGCATATAAAAATTGAAACATTAAGGTATAACATTATGCCTTTTAGTTCACAGTTGTAAGCATTTTCTTACTGGGGTAATAGATAGGTTGCAACAATTTACGAAATTAGTTTCATTTTTTCAAATAATAAACAGAATTACCATGAGAATGAAACACTTGTCTTTTTGCAGTTTAACCAAGTTAGGAAATTTTAAAACTATGTATTTTTCATTAGATAAAATTTTCTCTCTTAATTACTCGAAAACAGACATTTAAAAAAAAGGCTAACAGAGTTCCATTAAACACAAGTGTTATTCTTAACACAATATTTATATATTTCCAGCACCTAAAAATTCATCGACTGACCCCGTCCTGTTAACTTGAAAACTTTGACGACATAATGTTTATGACGTCTTTAAAAATAATGTTGTTGTTTTTTTCATTATGAAATTCAAGAAAAGGCTCTTATAGGTCTAGTATTCCAGTTTCCTTTCTCCAATTCTTTGTTTTGTTCCCTCGAGGTTTTAATTAGCAATTTTTCATTTGGTATGGAGTGTAAATTTCTTACTATGGCATTTATGTTTATGTTAGTTTCATTTGCGTTAACACCTTCACGGGCGTCCGATTATTTACAGTTGGAATAACAGTTGAGCTTATTTTGATTTCTGATGCTGTAGAGGCCAAAATATGATTCAAGTCAGGGAAAATCACAAGCGAAAGTAATGTGAAAATATTTATTTAATGATCATCTTACATAGTCAAGACAGTCAAGGTTTTATGAAGTCAAGGTTTTACCATAGTCAAGGTTTTATCTCAACCTCTTTATCTTCCGCAATCAAATACATTTTACAACCCTCGTTTGTCCAGAGAGAGTCATTACCCGCAATCATTTACATTTTACAACCCTCGTTTGTCCAGAGAGAGTCATTACTTTGGACCAAAATCTCAATTTCAATTGGTGAAGTCTTAAATTGATGGAGAGAGAGAAAAAGCGGACAAGAGAGCCCTGATCCCCAAGTTACGATCTGACAGAAGGAAAATCATATTATATTTTCAAACAAGACAAACATCTTAAGCCATTGCTTACAGTGTATGATGTTTTTCGTCGTCTTGTGAATTTTTACCCTCGTTATTGTCTTCTCTACCTTATATTTTACTTTATTTAGAAAAAAAATATAATAAAATGATTATTGCGATATTTTTTGTATTAAATTTCATTCTGCGACAGAAAACTTTTGTATTTAGATATATATATCGAACTAACAAAAACTGTGGAGGAATTTTGCACCAATGCTTAAATATATTTAACTATAATTTAAAAAAAACGAGGTTAGCTGGTATCTAGAATATGATATATTTTCTGTAATGTGGGCGAAACTTGAAAATGGTAACGGTAATTAAAAATCATATTTAGTATCTTACCCTACTATATCAGCCTATTCTTGCAATTTACGTCAGACAGCCTCGCGCCCACGTGCTGTCTGAAGCAAAGTACCCGAATTCAAAGCAAAGCCTCTAGAAAAATTATCATAATCCGCCTAATGCCATCTTAGTGAGAGATGTGTATCCCAAGAAAAGGCGGTCATGTAAGGGTTAACATCCTATATGACTCCACCCGAGGACAAAGACCTGTTTAAAAACATAAAGTTATATCCCGTAGCTTTCTGTGGAACTCTAGCAAGAAGTTCTTCGAATCAGCACAAGCGGAACATATTACCCTTCAATCCAGTTCAGATGTTCATTTGTATACGAAGTAAGTTTTCTTTCTGTCTTTTTTAAAGATTGAATAGGCCCAGAAATGACTCAACTCCCTCTGTATTATCCTTGCATCTTGTTAACCAGTGTTTAATTACTTTTTCAAAGGACTACTCAGGAAGGCAGTCAACCATTGTCTATCATAACGTAAAGTTTACCGTACTTCTTCCTGTTAATTTGTTTTGGATGATATAATTTGGAAAACGGATCTGGAAATACCAACTATACAGATGGTTGGAAATTGGTACATCATCTAAAGATAATCAATATGAACCAACTTTGATTAGTTTGTATTAACTTGTTATGAAATGAAATCACCCGATATTTCTATATTATCAGTTAATACACTGGTTTTGTATCTCCAAAAGCTGCCTTTGTTGGCTTTGTTCTAGACAAGCAAAACAAAATGTAACAATTATATTGAGTTACACTTCCGGAAATATACGTTCTCATTCACATCAAGAACAATGTGTAAATGGCCTAGCAGCTCATTATGTTAGTGATGAATACAGAAGCATTGATCTTTGAGACTCCGTGGAACAAGAAATCTTGTATCATCTACAATCGTGTACTTTAATATACGATTAGGTTGACGCTTCGTCTGAAAGTTGTGAATGTCTAATGAGCAGGAGGTGAAGCTAACAAACCTACGTGTCATCTCACCATCTGACCCCGACAGTGGGAGAAGGTCGATGTCTTTAGTAAAGTGAATAAAACCTTTATTGTATTCACTGTTCTAAACAATTGTCCAAGAATCCACTGTTTGGTCGTGAATTCGCAAGGTTTTCTTTTGTTTTCTTGAGTAATTTATCATATCCGGCTTCCCCATTTGTTTATTTCAATGGCAAGACATTTTTACGTTTTCGTCAAACAACTGACAGCTGCGAAGTACTGAGTATTATTTCAGTACCGTCTGTTTGTTTGTCTTCAACATTACTACAGAATATTTAAAGAAATAATTAAAATACTTGGTCCATGGGTATACTTTTTAAATTATTTTAGAATGTCATATTGATGAGTCTAAAAATTTTAAAACAAAAAAAACGCTGATATATTTTAACACTCGTGTGTTTATTATGGTCCAAGAAAATTCACGCACAGTCGAGGCTAGAATATCTAAACTAAGCATATTTGTTGTTTTTTAAATATTTGTTAGTTATTTCCGAGTAGGAAGATAGGCACGGATAGCTTTTGAAAGTATTTTTATCACTTAGACACTAAATTTATCTTTATCTTTGTTTTAAACTTACACGCTTAACACATTTAGCAACATTTGATTTTGAATTTACTACTCGATACTTAGACATTTAACACATTTAGCAACATTTTTGTTTTCATGTTAACCTCGATACTTAGATACTTAACACATTTAGCAACATTTGATTTTGAATTTACTACTCGATACTTAGACATTTAACACATTTAGCAACATTTTTGTTTTCATGTTAATCTCGATACTTAGATACTTAACACATTTAGCAACATTTGATTTTGAATTTACTACTCGATACTTAGACATTTAACACATTTAGCAACATTTTTGTTTTGAAGTTACCGCTCGATACTTGGACAATGTCACTGGATTAACTTATTAGACATATGGTAAATATAAATATTTCGTAGTCAACATTTCGTTTTTTAAGATTTCAAGTTGTGGGTGATGTAAGTGAAAAGGTAATTAGTGATTCGACACTTTGTTCACGTTTTATATAATTAAACCACAGTGTTCAGTTAAATATCTCCGATTTCTTTCCTTTCTCCGAGTTCTAATATTACATTCCCTTCAGAAGCCTATTCACAAATGTTCAGACTTTTAGTGTCAAACCCATCGAAACTGAGACAGCATATTTTTAATTTAAGCAATGGCAGAAGGTTTGTTTTACAGATAGAAATTCTTTTAATCAAATGATTACTCAATGCAGTGAAGAATATGTTCAAGAGAGAAGAGAAATGACTTTCCTAAGATCGTTTTAACTTTATTTGAAAATTTCATAAGATAAATCTTTGTTAAAAATACGATATTTGCTTTAGTCATATGTATGAACGCTAACCACTAAACGAATTTCTCTATTGACCATATAGGCCAAGACACACTACACGCACGTACCTGTCTACGACCAAGAAACGATCATGCTATAAAAGGCAATCCTATCGTTTAAGGTGGTGTGAGCTGAATTAACAACAGTGGTGAGTAACTCTAATAATACGTCTGGTAAATGCGAATCGTATCTATTATCCAATCTGTTTGCATGATACAACGTCTAGAATCAACGTAAATAAAGGTCCCTGTGAGTCAAGTTGTATTGATTTTTTTTTAACTTGTGATTTTATTACACAAGAGCGCTGTCTTTTGGGGATGATAAAGAATCGTTTAACATACAGTATACGAATAATTTAGAATCCAGACACGTGTGAAGCTGATGGAGACCAAAGTACTATCTCTTAAATAGAAATAGTTAGGAAAGACCTGTTTTTTTTTGTTGCCGTTGTTTTTTGTTTTTTTTGTTTTTGTCAGTCATACTCAAGAATACATTATAAAAAGGGAATAGTAGATAAATTTTGTAAAGTACAGCAGTGAGCTGTTTCAATGATTTGTAAAAGTTTAGATTTAATTCTCCGAAGCTAAAGGGCGGACAATTTTCATCCAGGATTGTTATTGCGGTGTCATAAAATAACACCATAGCTCTAGCCAATTCATCACAATAAGTATTCGAATCTTTCGTATTATTCTTATTAATATTGTTTATTTATTCGGTTTAAAAAATGTGAATGCATATTTTAAAATTTATTGTACTCATTCGCTTTTTATTTTATTTTTTCTAGTTGCCAAAGTCTCATATCTTGATTCGAAATGACTAAAATTGTCTTCCTTGTACAATTAAAATTAGGATTGTAAATAATAAGATAAATTATAGCTCCTTTTTTAGATTTAGTGGAAATGCAACAAGGGCTAATAACTATCAAGGCGAAATAGCTTAAATATTTAATGTTTTAGCAACTGAAAGAGTGTAATCCCTAAAAGAAGAATTTGCGATGTAAGTAGTGGGATTACTTATTCCCTGGAGGTAAGTATCTGTTTATTCTGACGGTATAAATGAGCAAAAACTAATCCTTTTTTCGATAACACTCTCTTACAATCTTCTGAATAAACTTAATTATCTAGTTGGCAATTATAAGCATGAATTTATAGACGAAGCAGGTTAGAGGATGTGGTGTTGTATATATACAGTCATATTATTCCCAGCAGTAATGTGATTTTTCAGTCATGGCTCCCACGATAGACATTCCACATGACAAAATGTAGAATCAAAGCTTTCGTTGGTGAAGGTTACTCCATGCGACAGACTGGGGCGAAATTTCGTGCTAGTGTGTATGATACTTTTCTGGAGGAAACATTCCCACATGTGGTTACAGTTAGGTCATTGGCAAGATATCTACTAGATGATCGTGTATCACGTAAAGAGTATGCCTTGATTTACTCAACATCGCTTTCTATTGTCAACAGTACTAGTTTTAGTACCTTCTTCATAGTTTCCATAAAGCTCCTACTGGAACACGAAATTTCGTGTTCACAAACCACAGCATAGAAGAGGTGATGAAACCAAAAATACTTCCAACAATAGGATGAACAGAGTTGGAGGAGTTTGTTCTTTAATGAAGAATCTCAATAAGAGAGAAAAGAATAGTATTGTTGTCGACGTTACATCTAATTCTGAGTGATCAGTCCAAGTGTGGGCTACCTCTCAACCAATGGTGTTAGAAATCTACAAAACAAACTGATGACACCCTAGTTGTTGACAGGCAAAACCAGAGTCTTATTTATCATGTCATTCTCTTAGGAAAAGAAAAAAAAAAGTTCGACATTGAATCATTTTTAGTAAGACAAAGAACATGAGATGAAATAATATCAGGTAGAAAAATCAGAGGCGATGGAACGCTTGCAACCATTGCTTGGCCCCCAAAATGTCCCGATATGAATATCATCAAGATTGTGCTGGCAGATATAATGGAAATCGAAGTTAAACGTAAATCCCAAACTTGTTTGAATTCTTAAGAGTAATACCGGACATTTGGAGCAATATTCACAATCATACTTTTTATTGTCTTATTTAGCATAAAACAAAATTTGCAACTCTGTTTAAAGCAAATCCAAAATGCTGGTGCATTATGTCTTTTATTTGCTTTTTTTCTGTATTTCCTGTAATAATGTATCCACTAATAATAATTTGATCATTTAGTTGTAATTACTCATTGATGTGACTCCTGTACATGTATCACCTGTGCGTTTTGATGATTATTTGCAAAACTGTGTATACCAAGTACGGTTAATACGCATGATACAGCTGTTTAATCATCAGCTAGATTAGTTTCATTGCGTGTTAGATTATGATATGCCATATGAATTTCGATCCAAAACTTTGCTTGACGTTCAGGTGTCTATTGTTAAGTCATATTTCGACGAGTGAAGTTAACCTCATCCTATCCCTATTTTTTTTTCTATATACCCGCGAATACTAGCTCTATTTAGGATAACGTAATTGTATCTTCCAACACCAAAATTTTCAATTTCATTGAGAACAAAAAACAGGAAAAAAAAAGTGAAGCCCATATTATCGTTTGGTTGTCGACTTGTCACTAAGTTAGACTGATTAGGTATCTTGAAATACCTGTATAAATATTTTCACAGAGGTAAGTAAAAGACAACTCAAATACCATAAACATAAGCTACAGACCATCACTATAAGACATATAATCCTAATTTTGGATTAGCCCTTGTTCAGGCCACTGATGACGGTTGGAATTCCCCGAAACCATTCTAACACAGTGACAAGTGACTAACTGTATTAGTAACAAGGCTTCATGTTTCTTTCTCATTGAAATTTAAAATTTTGGCTATGAGAGAAGAATATTCATAAACTTCGGGTCTAATCTTATTCTATCCATTCTTTATCAAATGACATCTAGATTAACTAAACATTTCTCCAGTGACATGAATTACTAAGTTTCGACTTGGGCTAGGATCGAATAATCCTGTCTATGGATAAACTCTATATTTAGATCAGAACGAAAACGTCCATACTAATTTAGATCGTTTGTTTCTGTCTTTCTTTCTAACACAAAGAAGATAAAACAGCACACAGCCCTTTTTTTCAACATATCCCCCCAATGGGACAGCAGTAAGTCTACGGATTTACAACGCTAAAATTAGGGGCTCGATTCCTGAGATAGCCCGATGTGGCTTTGCTATGAAAAACACATACACACATACAACCTTATCAACTACAAGTACAATATGCATATATATATTAAAGAGAGTAGGGCAGAGTGATTGCACAGTTGTTTCATTTAGAGTAATAGTTTGAAACCAAACTATTGGTTTCAGCTGTCTTTGTAATATTTTCTTTAGTACAACAACCTTACAATGCTAACTATATTAACTGTATAGTAACTTTTGCTCCACCCTGTTTGTATCTTAGACCAAGTAAAGATTAAATTATTCCTGTAGTCTTAACTTATCAGTTGCTCCAGAAAGAGAATAAACAAAAATATTTCACTTTCCTCCCAACAGGAAGTAAATCATAATTATGTTTACAAGAATGTTCGAAGTGTTTATCTTCATCAATTCGTATATAAAACAACAACAACAAAAAACCGCAAGAGCACTAATAAAATGTTTTAAACATTCGCTTAGAGGAAGTAAAGCAGAAAGTGTAGGACAATTTCTTGAAACATCCGCTTCAGCAGGTGTCACCGAAACGGAAGTTTTCAGTTTACTTTCAAACACTCGTAAAACATAAACAGATTCTATTGCAAGACGAAAACGATGAGAAATTATAAGGTTAACCGTCCTCACTATTGTGTTCTTTGTAGTATGTAATTACTGGAGTTCCTGGGGTTCTCGGTCACGTGATACCACCCTCGTCACGGCTTGGCAACCTTTTATTTGTTAAAAACACTAATTGTTAGCTGGAAGAAGCCAAACGTTTCCTCGCCCTCAAGCCTCGCTTGTTCCCACGTGAGTTGTCTCTACTGTTTTTAATAGTTTCCGTACTGGAGAGGTAGGGGACGTAAACCACCCGAAAAAATGTTTTTTCGCCAATAGGTCTACTATATGATAATTACCAGAAGGGTGAATGGGCGTTATTTTTAATGGTGTGCTACATAAACGCGATAACAATAATGTGTAATATATGATTGATATGAGTTTCAGTCAGTGAGTGTCAATAAACGGAGGGCGGTTTTTGGGTAGTTTATCACTGTATAAAACGAATACACATTTTGAAATGAATGTAAAAAAAAAAGAACACTGTAACTGCTTTGAGCACACATTTTGAAATGAATTAAAAAACAACAACACTGTAACTGCTTTGAGCACACATTTTGAAATGAATTAAAAACAACAACACACTGTAACTGCTTTGAGCACACATTTTGAAATGAATTAAAAACAACAACACACTGTACCTGCTTTGAGCCACTTTTTGGTTTTTGGTTGTCATTGTTATAATAAATTACTAAAGCTTATAAAATAAACACGCAATTTTAAGAATTGGGTAAACGAGTAATTCATTCGTCTTGACTATTTCAACCTTAACAATAACACTAATATTACATGAATTCGTGCATGAAATAATAAGATAATAAAATCGGGTCAAGCTTTAAAGTTTAAATTGTTCTTTAGAGTTTAGGAAATTAGACTTTGTTGAATAACTTGTTAAAACTTGTAGACTTATTAACTAGTAGGTCTGAGCTTCAGAGATGTATAAAAAATATGCTATTTTCTCATAATTTGATCTTATGAATTAAAGTTTTAGTGTGTACATTTATTTGCATAACATTCTAAAACTGATTCTAAGTTTCAAATGCTGTTCAAAAATGTCCATTAGCTTTTACGATCTATATATTTATGTCAGAATTTTGTGTAAAGACACGCAAGTCATTTGTCAACAGCACTCACCGCCACCTTTTAGGTTACTTTTTTTTGATCGAATAATGGAATTTGGTTTGGTTTGTTTGGAATTTCCCGCAAAGCTACACGAGGTCTATCTGCTCGAGCCATCCCTAATTTAGCAGTGAAGGACTAGAGAGAAGGCAGCTATTCATCACCAGCCCACCGCCAACTATTACAAACGAATAGTGGGATTGACCGTGACATTATAACGCTCTCACGGTTGAAAGGGCGAGCATGTTTGGTGGGACGGGGATTCGAACCCGCAACCCTCACATTGCGAGTCGAGCTCCCTAACCACCTGGCCATGCCAGGCCAACAGAATTTGACCGTCACTCTTTCAGCACATCCGTGGTTCCAAAGCGTGGAGTGCGTTTTTGCTGCATCGGATCACGAATCCTTGAATTCACAATCCTGACATGTCAACCACTGAGCCACGCCTAGTTCAATTCACTCAGAAAATGTCTTAACTCGTTTCTTCTCAATAGTTTTTAAACGTAACAGCTCGCTGCAAAGAATTCCAACATTTATAAAAACTTAACTTTATGTTTTGCCAAACTGGAAAGATTGGATTAAACTTAATTTCAAATTTGTTAACATTTGGCATTTTTAACGTGAGTTGCAGCTTATGCAATGACTGAGCTAAGCGGCCAAGTCAGAGAGATCAACCAGTTATTAAGCACCCTCAACCTGCACGGCTACTCTTATCTGAATCGTGCCCTCTGTTGAAAGTACGAAACGTATTCAGCGACGTATCACGGGATTAAACCTTGGACCTTTCACTTTGCAACGCGCACGTTAACCACTACATCATGTCTGGCCCATATTGCGTCTTCATTTAAGCTCACTTTTTATTGTAAAAAGATGTTTCTTTCATCAGATCTGGTAAATGTATTGAAACTTATGTCTAAATAGTTTTGTGACAAAGACATACTCATATATACAAAAGAAAAAACAAATAAACAAAACAGCCTAGTCAGAACTAACCAACATAACTTAAGAATACTGATCTGAGAAGTGCCACAACTACTTTCTGATTCTACTATTTACTTTAAACGACACATAACGAATGGAAGATGGCAATCTTTGTCACAGCAGTAAATTATCAATCGGAAATCTGGAGAAACAAGCCATTTTTACTTGAATGGAGATTTTTGATTTTCTGGAATAGATTGATAGATATAATAAAATGAACCGACATAGTACGTTCCGTGCTACTATAGAACACAAAATATGGTACCGATCATCTCGGGTTCAGTTGTCATCGTAAATAAAAACCAAAAAAAAAACACAAACAGTGAAACTAAGAAACAAGACAACAGACTTGGTATGTGTGTTAGAAGTGTGCACGATGGTGCAACGTACAGGAAGAGAAACACTGAATTGCACTGTTTGACTCCCATGCTTTTCGTGGTTAAGATCAGTCAGCGTGCCCTATACAGTTTAATTCAACAGGACTGAACTTAGCAGAACAATGAGATTCAAAATATCCACTTACGACATACTAAATACTCTGTCTAAGTTTGAGAGCTTGCATTTCGTCATAGCTCGTGATGCGTGAATAGTAGAGATCGTGACTTGCCAACTTTCGATCAGCATCTAAACCCACAATAATGGTTTTTTTTTTTATGTGTGAAGACATCATGACACACATGATTTATAAACTAACAGTGAGCACGTACAATCCCACGTGCATCGGGATGTATAAGTAATATTACTAACGCAATCACTTATTATGCAGAAAACATTTGTCCTGGCAGTTTATTCGTTGTTTCCTAGCCCTCAAATATTTCAAATTACAGACTGATAGCTCTTTTCTCTCAGCTACTTTTCTTAATTATTTACACGTTTCTTTACCTCTACTATAGCTTATCTGAAGAGCCCTGCTATTGAGCGAAAGGCCTCGTCGGCACTGGATATAGCAAATGTAGTGTGATTGATACATTATAGTTTATTTAGTACATTCATTTTTTAGTGATAATATCATTGTAATTAATTTATATTTGTATCCTGTAGTATGTTTTATATTGTCCCCCGAGTATTGTTAATGTGGTTTTACTCTAAAATAAAGAAACACCACAAGAAACTCTAGAGGTTTTTCTGGGCGTGTAAGTTATATAAACAGGAAATTTAATGATTTTGGGGTTTTGGTAAAGTGTTGAAGTGTATGTTATATCAAAGTAGTTTAACGGTTTGGTAAAGAGTTTGTTTGTTTATTTTAGCGCAAAAATAGGCTACCTGCGGTCTGAGAAACAAATTCCAGATTTTAATGTTATAAGTCCGTATCCTTTGCCTTGACCCACTGGAGGAAATGGGGGAAAGTTAGTGTATTTCTAAGAACTTATGTTTGTTTGTAATTAAGCACAAAGCTACGCAATGGGCCATTTGTGCTCTGCCCACTATGGGTATCGAAACCCGGTTTCTAGCGTTGTAAGTCCGCAGACATACCGCTGTGCCACTGGAGGGGGGATTTATGGATTAAGCAAAGAAGAATATGTTATAATACCCCAGTTATACTACATCTGCCATATCTAGTGCCGTCGAGGCCTTTCGCACAATACCAGGAATCATCAGGCAAGTTAAGATAAGACAAACATCGTAGTAGTCTAAGCGCTATTTATGTCATTAACTTTTCATGAACAACGACAGCTATGGTGTAAACTAGAGTAAGTGAACTTTAATTATTATTAGTTTTACTTAAGTCATTTACAAATCAGATTCTTAGGAAAATAGATTAATAACACTAAGGTGGGAATGAAAACCTAGTTGCGCTAGGGCTGTGAATCCGAGGATTTCTGGCTCGCGAACCGCCGTCGTAAAAACACACTCTGAACTTTAGGGCCGTGGGTGCGCTATAACAGCGGTGGATGAACCCAATTATTCGATTAAACAAGAGTATCCAAGAGTTGACAGTGAGTGCTGTTGACTAGCTGCCACAAAATTAGAGACGCCTATGGGCAAATAGCGCTGTAGGTAGCTTTGCACGAATATTCTGAAAAAAATAAACATTCGGTGTGAGTACTGGGTTGTTATTCTTATATAACTTTAAGTATTAAAGAGAGTATACTATTCACGAAGTTCGTGAAACAAAGGGTAATTCCACCAAATAGCCAGAAATAATAGTTTAAAAAAATCTTATCAAATTTGGAAACTGAGATATGAACTTATTGGAATTTAAACATTGTATGTTACCTCTCTAAATTCTAGTTTTTCAGTATGTCAAAAAAATAATTAATCAATAATTAATTGCGTGTTTTGAAACCATTATCTTAATTCAAAATATTACATTACGTTTATAATGATTATTCAAACATTTAACCAAATTATGCCCACAAAGTTTTATTTTTGTATTATTGTGAATCTAACCAACAGAGGATTGCACATTGATAATAAAAAATAAGTTACAAGTGCAACAAACTTTTGGAAGTAAGTCTCATTCAAAAGACACGTTTTTTATTTGTTTGTTTTTTCAGGAATTCTCCTGAAAGTTTATTTGTTTTTAATAGGTTGATCGTCCCTTTTCTTAATAATGCAAAGGTTGATAAAAAAATCAAACTTTACAAATATAATTCGACCTATGCTCATTAAGAGTAATGGAATAAGTCAACAATTATTTTCTATCTGTATTTACATAAGAAACTCGTATGTTTTTATCCAGTTCTTTCAATTTTTTGAGTCACATCCTTGTCGCTGATGGCAAGTTTGTTTGTTTTTATTTCAAAGCTGTTTGTTGAACTGCTCTTTTTAAGCTACCAGTTAAATAATATAAATGCCTTTGCTGAGTCTGGTGTTTTCTTTTTCAGAAATATCTTCCTGATTTGATATTCATGTAATTGAAACGTACCAGTGGAAGCCGGAAAAGCAGAAGACAAAAATCCACAATATGATTTATTGACATTATGATATTAAGAGTGACGTAATGCTTAGGTGTTCACTGTTTACGTCTATTCTGCTGCCAAGTGATAATGCTGAATAAAGGACCTGAATTAGCGCCATCTAGTGACAAGTACAGACAATGCTAAAATGAAACCAGAATGAAAAACTATGGATTGTTAAAGATTACAATGAATTTAGACTATCACGTGAATGGCAGGATGGCGATTTTTTTATACATCTGTATCGTTTTTGAGAAAATTATAGATTATACTTTTGTTGGAGACTTTCAATGTTTTTCCATCCATGCATGACCAGCTGCTTGATGTTGCTATAACGACGCAATTGTTTCCAAATTTTTATTTTTGTGTTGTATTTATCCACAATCTCTAATGTCCTTGGTACGTATTCCGAAATTCGCCATAACCGATGACAAGTTTTTGTCGTAGCGTACAAATGCAAAACTGAGAGACTGACCGATTGTGCACAGCGAAATAGTTTAGCTGATTCGCTAACGTCCTTAAGGTTGTCCTCGTGATAGTAATCACCTGGTTGACGGTGTAATTGTGATGAACCGCTAACGTCTGTAAGATTGTCCTGGTGATAGTAAGCACCTGGTTGATGTTGTATAGCGTAAAAGTTTTAGCTGAACCACTAACGTCAGTCACTTTGTCCTCAGAATAGTAAACACCTGGATGATGGTGTAAAAGTTAAAATGAACCTCTAACGTCATATAACGTTTGTCCTGGAGATAATAAACACCTGGTTGATGGTGTAGAAGTTAAAATGAACCGCTAACGTCCGTAAGGTTGCCTGGATAATATTACTCGATGTTTTTGTGTCCTCAGCTTAAAATGACTGTATTATAGTGTTTAAAAATGAAAATGTGTTACTAGATGAGGAAAAGCTTAGTAACTTAAGGAAATGATCGTTTCCTTATCAACGTATAGTGGTGTATAACCGTCATTCATGGTTCACATTTACAATGACTCAAAGTTGTTAAGTGCTAAATTATAGTTAGTTTTTAAATATACTGTTATTATTTTTATACGTATATGATCGAAAACTAATTGTATGCAAGTTATTGATTGTTACTATGCCGCACGATTTTCAAATTTCGTATTATAAAACGCCATCGGCAGACATCAATCTTAATTAAACAAATGTACGAATATCCGTATTCGTTAAATAGGAAAGATCTCATTATTAGTAGTAAGTATTAAAAATAATGTTATTTGTACATCTTATTGTTGTTTTTTTGAAGAATCGAATCCAAATCATACATGTACATAATATTATCTGCCTGATCCTACGAAATAACGTATTATTTGCTTGGCTGAATTTGAAGGACAATTTCAAACAAGCATCATCCACCCAACTGGTAAACAAATTAAACGACCGTTCATAGTGTGGGACTCATGACTAATTTCTATTCCATAATGATTAACTACACAATTTTATAATGACTTTTTTAGAGGCAAACAATAAATTAAATTACTGCGTTAAGGACTGTGTTATTATTTTTACATTTTTGAATTACGTAACGCTGACTGAAGTACAGTGCACCGAATTACGAATATATAAAACAGCTGTAAACTACAGAGAATCTTTCAAGTTGTTTTGTTTCCTCAACGTTTCGGTTTTACGCCATCATCAGGAATATACAACTTCTTTAATGAGCTCCATCACCGTGATAGTTCACAACGTAAAAATTTAGCTAAACCAGTAACGTCCGTATGGTTGCCCTCATGATGATAATCACCTGGTTATGTATGCTCCTGATGAAGGTGTAAACCCGAAACGTTGAGGAAATAAAAACTGGAAAGATTCCCTGGATTCCGCGGTTGTTTTATTTATTCGTAATGCTGTGTTATTATCAATAGTTTCGTTTCAAGTTTAATATAGTAATACCGTGTTATTATGTTCAGCATTTCGTATTTTTTCAGCCTCAGTTGTGCAACAAACTGGTTTGTTTGTGCTTTAGTTTCATTTGGTGTGACATTCCCACCATGAATTACATCAATCAGGCTCAATCACGAATTTTCGACTTGCTGGATCTATAAATAATATCATATACTGTAACTTACTGATCATCATTTTTAATGCAGCTTATCCACATCTGATGAGAGAAAACCAAATTAAAAATAAAACTCTATAGTTACCCGCATAGTACTTTTAGAAGCTTTTGATTTTATTTCCAAGATTTTCAAGAAAACATGGTATCTCATATTTCTAGAATAAATAATCCAGGGATGCCGTAAGCGCTCATTGTTTTAAATAACAAATAAATCGAATTCTTACGCGGAGATCCGTTCAGTAACATCTCACCTTCACATAGTTAACGTGTTTAGTTTTCATGGTTACGGTTCTTTGGTTTATCCGGGGTCTTAACGTGTTTTTTTCTATTTATAGTTTTTACATTGCTACAATATCGTAACACGATGACAATTAAAAGAATGCAAACAAGAAAAACATAAAATTCCAATTAAATAACAAACTGTCAGGAAAATTAATATACATTTCTATAAATAGAACCCGTCACCATTTCTTTGTCAAGAGGAGAATTTTTTTTTGCCGTTTTAAAAACTCAAATTCACATTTGTTTTTCTGCTAAATGTTTGAAAAAGGTAATTAGGAAAACATTTGAAGCTGCTAAAACAGAAACATTCTTTTAGTTTCTGAGATAGGTTTCCTATCAGCAGTTTTGTTTTTATTATTTTTTTTTTCTCACAACTGAAGTTCTCGGATTCGAATCCCCGTCACCGAACATGCTCGCCTTTTTAGCCGTGGGGGCGTTATAATATGACGGTCTATCCCACTATTCATTGGCTGTTGGTGGTGTTGACTAGCTGCCTTTCCTCTAGTCTATCACTGCTAAATTAGGGACGGCTAGAACAGATAGCCCTCGAGTTGTTTTCGCAAAATTGAAAACAAACCAAACGAAATCTCACAGCAGAAGATAAAGAATTTCTTCCCTGTAGAAATATATCTTGTACTTAAAACGTTCGATAATTATGTTTTAGTGTGTTTTGTTAAGTTTAACGTGGTTGAAATATACACAAAGCATCTCCTTTGTCAAATACATAATAACATAACTTTTTTATATGGCACAAAACGTTTACACATGAAAATACGGAACTGCTCCAGTTTCTTAAAAGCTCTGACACTTTATTGGCCGAGTCATTGTTCACTAGACTCTAAATGTTAGTTGTTGTCTTTTCAAACTACGTGATAGACATGTTGTGTGGCGACCTTTATTCCAGAAACACGTTACAAAAAAGAAACAAGAAAAACAAAACGAAATCATGTTTAGTCACGTTTTAAGGGCAACTGGCCCCATTCTTTCAAAATAAGCATCTTAGAGACTGGATAAAAGTAATCAAATATTTTTACTTTGGAGGGGGCTGGTAGTTAGGGCGTTTGACTCACAATCTGAGGGTCGAGGGTTCGAATCTCAGGCACCGAATATGGTTGCCGACTAGGCCAAACACCCGGGTGTAAACATTTATGGGTTGCAAAAAATACTGGCCAACCCCAAACAACTTGGGATTAAGGTCGCAAAAGGATAATATAAAAAAAATGACTTTATGACATATTGATAATAAAACAAAATTATTAGATTACAAAAAATACTGGCCAACCACAAACAAGTTGGGATTAAGGTCGTAAAGGGATAATGTAAAAACAACAACAATGACTTTATGACATATTGATAATAAAACAAAATTCTTAAATTACACAAAATACCGGCCAACCCCAAACAAGTTAAGATTAAGGTCGTGAAAGAATAATATAAAAACAACAACAATGACTTTATCACATGTTAATAATAAAACACACTTATTAGATAAAAAAAAATACCGGCCAACCACAAACAAGTTGGGATTAAGGTCGCAATAGGATAATATAAAAAAATGACTTTATGATATATTGATAATAAAACAAAATTCTTAGATTACAAAAATTACCGGCCAACCCCAAACAAGTTAGGATTAAGGTCGTAAAAGGATAATATAAAAACAACAACAATGACTTTATGACATATTAATAATAAAACCAAATTCTTAGATTACAAAAAATACCGGCCGACCCTGCACTACTTGGGATTAAGGTCGTAAAAGGTAAAACAACAACAATGTCTTTATGACATATTAATAATATAACTAGCGAACTAAACGTTTATTCAAATTCATATATACTCTTCTAAAGGCGGGGTTATTAACTTACGTAACGCAAATATTGAATTCCAAAACCTTGAGATTAATTAAAATTAAGAACTTGAAATGAACTTAATACAGAATAAAAAGTACTAGTTATAAACTTCGTGTTTTTTTTTATTGCAGAATACAAAATTTTAGTTAAAGTCGTTGTCGTTTTGTTTTTACCATAGAAACTGAATAAGTATATACTCTTCCTCTTAGAAACAAACGTAAAAGTATGTCTTTCAAAAAATTAACCTGTTTCTGAAATAAATATATAATTAGAGAAAGAAATGTTATTATATTGAGTAAAGGTGAACCTCCCGATGGCGGACAGTCTGCGAGTTTAACACCCTAAAAGTCAGATTTCGTATAACTTTGTATAACTTTGCGATCAACAACAAACAAACCATTCAATATTGAAATGCCCGGCATGGGCAGGTGGTTAAGGCATTCGACTCGCAATCTGTGGGTCGCGGGTTCAAATCCCCCTCCAAACATGCTTGCCCTTTCAGCCGTGGGAGCGTTATAAATGACGGTCAATCCCACTATTCGTTGGTAAAAGAGTAGCCCAAGCGTTGGCGGTGGGTGGTGCCTTTCCTCTAGTATTACACTGCTAAATTAGGGACGGCTAGCGCAGATAGCCCTCATGTAGCTTTGCGCGAAATTAACAAAAACAGCATTGAAATAACTCCCTCTGTCGTTAAAGATTGTAAAATGCAGAAACTAAAACAGAACAGATCTAGGGCAACGTTTTTCTTTTTCTTTCTTTTTTCGTATTATACATACTTACATATAGATAAGTCCAATTCACGATATTTTTACGTTTTAGTTCAGTTATCATGTTAAATATATTTAGTGTGATGTATAGATTACGTTTTTTCCTACAGATAAAGGAAAGTGAGAACATATCTAATGAAATAAAGCTTTTTGAAAACTTCTGGAAAGTGTTCGCACAAAGATATGTTTTATTTGAAACGGTGATATTTTTCCATGTACGGTGTTGTACGAAAAATATATGATTTTACATACTTTGGGACTAGTAAATGTAACTCTAAAAGTATTACTTTTGCGATCTATTAAGAAAAAAAAAACTGCACTCGCAGCCTATAAGTAAGTTTTAAAAAATGTACACAAGTGATAAAGCATTAAGGACTTTGTTAAAGTGAAATCATTATTAGAAAAAGTATATAAGCATTAAAATAGTAAAATAAAAATGGTTTTGAATCATCTTTATGGTGTTCTATAGATGCGGTTGCTTAGTATTGTTAATATTACAGGATTTTTAAAACCATATAATATAAATAAAAACAAATCCATATGAAAATTATTTTCGGCCACATTAAAATATGCACTGCTTGAAATAGTGGAGAAATATAAAATAAGCTTCAATCTCTTTTCAGTCTCATTGGCTGTAACCTAAGATGGAAAAGGTAATTGGAAAAAAAATATTTGAAATTGTTTTAAATTATTTGTTGTTATTATTATTTGAAGCAGTTCCATGCAGTTGTCTTCACTTTTATTGGCGGATTATAAAAATTAGATTACTATATTTAATAAATAATGCATTCTAGATGGCGCCACCATCATAAACTTCGTGCACCTTCGAGGGTCATTTACACAAGTAAAGAAAAACTTTTCAAAAAAGGAAGTAAATGTAGGGATGGTTAATATCAATCCTTCAAAAAGTATGCAAATAATAAGATAGTAAGGATGTCATTTACAACATCTCTACATAATTCAACTACCATCCCTACTAATGTGGTTTGCATTATATTTAAAGGATTGATATTAGCCATCCCTACATTTACTTCACTTTTTTTTTGCCCCCCCCCCCAGTGGCACAGCGGTATGTCTGCGAACTTACAACGCTAGAATCAGGGTTTCGATACCCGTGGTGGGCAGAGCACAAATAGCCCATTGTGTAGCTTTGTGCTTAATTGTAACCAAAACAAAACTTCCTTTTTTGAAGTTTTTTATTTACTTGTTTGCTTGTTGTTGTTTTTCGAATGCAGTGTTTCAACAGACATAGGAAGCGTAATTATAACCAGATTCTAAATACAATAAGGTTCCGACTGTAATATTTATTGTTTATCTATTATTGGCTGGTAATTCCTGTTTTACCAGCGTACTTAAGCTTTTTTAATTATAAAAGCGGATACTCCGTTTGAAACAGTGTCATCTCAGTGAAATTGGTTGGTACCATTGTTTTGTTTTTTGAGTTATCATGTAATAAAACAGAAAGCAGAAGAAAGAAGAACAAGAAAATCATATAATATAATGCTATCATATTTACAGACATTCCCAGAACGTGTGACTCAGTCATTACATAGATATTGTTATAAAAGGAAACACTATATAGTATTGTAAAGTTCTGATGACCTTTTGACGAGATATTTAAAATACCATTTCGATGAACAGTCCGAGCCATCCCTATATAGGAGTGTTACTGCCTGCCTGATATGTATTACAGTTATCAAGTGTGCATATTGATTACCTTGGATTATCAAAAAATAAATGTTAAAACCGATGTGACAGTAAGTGTTTAGCTATATTTAAATATATTTTTGCTGTTGATGTTGTTCAGAGTGTTGAAAATATTATACTAAAATGATTTTGGAGCCTCACCATGTAATTACAGCCCATATAGCCACGTCCAGTCCTGCTGTATGTAACGGCCGTGCATCAAGGCAATAACCCTTCTGGGTAGTTTCCATTGCAGTAAACTCCGTCGTAAGGCTGCCATGTTTAAAGCGCATAACACCTCCACGCGACTTTTTATAATCCATCTAAGGTTTGAATTTCGCGCAAAGCTACACGAGAGCTATCTGCGCTAGTTGTCCCTAATTTAGTAGTGAAAGACTAGAGGGAAGGTAGCTAGCCATCACCACCCACCGCCAACGCTTGGGCTACTCTTTTACCAACGAATAGTGGAATTGACCGTCACATTATAACTCTCCCACGGCTGAAAGGGCGAGGATGTTTGGTGGGACGAGGTTTCGAACCCGCAACCCTCACATTGCGAGTCGAGCGCCCTAGCCACCTGGCCATGCCAAACCAATGTACATGGACTACGGTGTCTCAGCGCCCATTTTAACAGTCCGAACATAAAGAAATCCAGTGGTGTTGCGTCCGGCGACTTGATTGGTACATCTTCGTATGGAATAGCACGAATACCTGTTTTATTCTCTAATCGATTGAAATATGTAACAGTAGAACGGAAGATATGACCTTATCTTGGTCAACCTATACTCTGTTAGATTTATTTCCTTATAGATATGTAATCATTCTTGATTATGTTGCATAGTGTTATCTAGGGCATGTGGACGGCTTTTGTTACTGTTTTTTGTGTCCATAGATTCTCCCCTGTTAAAAGACGCCACACTTTGCTCATCACGGCTGGAATACGTCTTGTTGTGGATCTCTTTCTAAATGGTCCTGGTGCACCAACTTAGTCTATATTTTTATGTTTCCAGTTCCCCATCTTGTAAATTATAAGTCCAAGATCTGAGTACATCTCTATGATGTGTTCATTTTGCGTCGGAAAAAGGCTTACATGTCCTTCCCTAAAGCAATCAGTTTTCTGTGGCATCACAATATCTAGGAAGGCCAATGTCTAAATGTAGTCCTGATACATAATATTCGACCGCGGCATTATTTCAGCTGTGGCTGTCATGTAAATTACAACTTTGCAACCGAAAGTGATGTTAATATAACTTACTCAACCCTGTATAATGAAAACAAGTGTTGTTTTAAATTGAGGCTGTAAAGAATATTCTATGTTCGCTAAATAAATCATTTGTTTTTTCACGAAATACAAATGATTTTAAGTAAAAATAAATAAAAAAAAATGCATGAATGAGTACTTTGAAAAAATTATCTTGTCCAGATAGATTTTATTAATTAGCACAATGTTGCCTTTATGGAACATTTGTAACTAGGACTTAATGAGGTGAATTGTTTAGCCTAGAGAGTTTAAAAGTGTTCGTTTTGTTTGTTTGTTTGTTTCTTGGATATCACGTAAAACTATACGAGGGCTATATGAGCTAGTCGTCCCTGATTTTGACGTGATAGACTAGAAGAAATGACGTTATTCAACAACACCCACCGCCAACTCTTGTCAGTCCGAATAGTGTGATTTGATTTTCACTCTTATAACGCACCTATGGCCCCAAAGTGCTGAACACAATTTTTTATTTTGCCAGTCGCTTAACACGTATCACGGAACTTTAGGTCCACAGCCCGGTACGTTGTGGGCCTCACTCGGCCCAAACGTTTAGCCATTTTTTAAATAATGCTATGGCCAGTTAAATCCAATTATAACGTTATTTTTTATATATATTTATCTTTCAGTTTTATGTGAAGTCGATATTATATTGGAACAGAAAAAAAATGCAATTTTTTTATTTCAAATGTATTAGGCTATAAAGTTATGTTGTTTGATATATATATTGTACAAATAATTGAGACTTCTCATTTTTAAACACAAGAAAATACAACGATTAAAAGGAACGTTAGAGATCCTTTTATCTGCTTAAGAAGATTGTTGCTTGTTTAACGATAATTAAATTGCGTTTCCCGAAATATTAGGTCGCGCTTTTTACCATTAAGAGTTCGATTATTTGCTTTTATGGCGTCTAGCCGTTTGCTTGTATCATTGCGACGCCTAGCGGTGGTAAAATTAAACAAATAGAACCCGTCATGCATCTGACGGGAGTTCCTAAAGCGTTTGGTGTTATACTTTGCGTCACTAACATATAATCGTACGCAAAAGACACGTGGAATTGAACACAGAAGTGTTAACATAGCCTGCTCAATCAAGTATTTTGGTGAAGAATCTCCTTTTCCTGAAAAGCAAATATTTACTTGACATATTCCTTACGCTACGCATCAATTTTTTTTGAATGCTAATGAGACTGAAAACATTCCGATTCACTTAATTTCTTCGAATGAATATGACTTAGTTTCTGTGTAGAGAGAAAACGCGTGGTGGTTTCACTGACAACTAGAAGCGAGTGATGTCACGTCTTGGCCGCCACGGTGTCGGCTCAAGCCCCGCATGCCAAGAATCAAGTGTGGCTAGAGAGGCCTCCAGTTCTAACGGATTTGTAAAGGACTTTTTTCGCGTTGTCAACAATGGCCACCTAGGGACAAGCCAAAAGATGACAAAACCTGCAGATAGTCGTCTCGTGCTCCTGGGAAACCCTGGTGTCGGGAAGTCCGGTTAGTACGAATATGCATTTTTGTGATTATTTCCTGTTTACTTTAGTCATATATTAAATAGTATTTTTTCCGTTGATTTCGAACACTATTGTTTAAGAAATTCCTTTAGTCATTCGAAAAACAAGAGCTGGTGTATTGTATTTGTGTGTTCCTCTTACTTCTGGGCAAGTTGTTTTATACTTTTTATTTAACTGGACAGCCCTTTTTTAGACGTAGCATAATTCTTCATAATTGTTTGTGTTTTCTAGAAGAGGCCCCTACGTAAAATGTTTGAAAGGGGGAGGTTAATTTGTGAGATCAAAAGCCAACACATATTGTGCGAAACACAATCAGCAAGAATCCAGCCTACAAAACCTGACAGTAGCAATACGGTTTCGGAATTCCAATTACAAAGTGTCAACAGAAGCCATTGCATGCGAGAGCACAGATAGTCCATTGTGTAGCTTTGTGCTTAATTTCAAACAAACAATTAAATGTTTCAAATCGTGAGGTTTTGCTAGGATAATTGAAAAACAGATTGATATTTGTAATGTTGTCTGTTCTCTTGAATTTCTAAGTGTGGTAGGAGGAACTAGCGGTGAGAGAAAACATTGGAAATAAAAGTCTGTACACTGCTTAGGCCTATTTCTAACGCAGGAGGGGGAGAGGGTTCGGCCAAAACCCCTATTTTTGTGATGTAAAAAATTATGCTTATATAGTTATAGCGCGGCTGATTATTGTATTTAACGTCTTCTACATTCTTCTGATGAAACATTAGCATTTTTTGGCTTGAACTAGTGCCCACCACGGGTATCGAAACCCGGTTTCTAGCGTTGTAAGTCCGTAGACATACCGTTGTGCCACTGGGGGCAACATTTAATTGGACTTTTGTTTTCAACAATTTTAGTCTAGAAACTATTTCGCAAGGATGATCTCTTCTATCTCTCTTTATCGACTTATTATTTTGAGTTAGATCAGTTTAGGATATTTTTTTTCGATCCACTCCTTCGAATCTGGATCCATTTAGAGGGTTTTTTTAGACTCATTCTTTTGAGTCAAACCAGATTAGGGACTTTTTTTACCCATTCCTTTCTATTGAACCAGCTTACAAGATCTTTTTCGACCCATTCCGTTGAATTATACCTGTTTCGGGCAATATTACCCTAATTTGAGATATTATAAAGCAAAAACTTTACAACTCAATGACAGATGCCAATGGTGCTACCAGATAATGCCACCAAATATATAGTTGTTTCAAGAATATGCATATTTTGCGACTGCGTTTGTGTTTTTGTAAATTATTGGAAGAGATAATACCAAGTACTTATCACGTATTTTGCGTTTCGCTTTAAAAGTAAGAAGCTGTTATAGAAGTCGTTTCTTAAAATAACTGCGAAAGTAGATCTTGTTTTCTTAATAACTGTATTACTCAAACTGCAAAAAAAAATCACTTAATTTTAAATAAGATATTAATTTACAAAAAAATATTTTTATTATTATCGTATATAAAACACACCATATTTCTGACTACGTATAATGTGAATCGTTTTACAGGAATTTGTAAGAGTAAGCTCAATGACTCATTCATCTAAGCATGGTAAGTGCCCGACGAGCTACACGAAAAAAAGCACGCGAGTAATGCAAAATTATCTCACGATAAACTAGTCTAGACTCTAGAATACCACAGATTCATTGGTGATCTGATTTATGATAACAACAAATTAACCTAAGCTTCCTCACCTAATAGTAACACATATTAGAATTCCTGCTTCAGAATTTAACTTCATATAACTCAGTGCTTACTTTAGTTGTTATTATTATTTTAAAATTGTCAGTAAAATTACTTGGTTGTTTCAATTTTTGAACCCCTCAATAATTGATTTTTTTTTCTTTTGCAGGAAAATCCGTTTTACTTCTTTTAAACCACTTATTAGAAAATTTTAGCTGACATGCGCTATTATTTCAATAGAAATGGTTTTATTACACAAATATTGCAATTGTCTTAGCTCCATGCCTCTAGGATAATTACAAAGTGCACGTATGACGTGTGTTAAAGTCAATAAGAATGTATCAAGTTACTGGCCTGAACAACGTTGAATTCGTGGCTGCTATCAAGTGAGAGTAAATTATGCCATAATTGTTTTCTTGCTAAGTTTGGCGATGGATTTGAGGTTTGGAGAGTAATTACTATAATTATATCTTCTGCTGTGGCATGGGTTGTTCTGATCTAGCTAGAGTTACACGGGTTTCGGTGTTCTTGATTATGTTATTCGATGCATCTGCTGCTTTTTTTCTGGTGGTATTATCAGCTATTTAATTGCTAATTCTTTACGATCTTCTTTCTTCATACTTCATCTGTATTTATGCTGATTTCTGAGCTTTTTTTTTCCTACGAAGTACATCTGTATTTATATTAACTTTTTTTTTAAATAAAATTAATCAAATTCTTATTAGTCCAAGAGTTCTAACCATAATCGAAAAGTGGTTGGAGTGCAACACAAAAATGTTTTGTAGTTTTTTTTTTTTTTAAATCTTGATATCATAAAGGTAACAGCTTTTAATAGGTCAGAACTTTATTTCCTTGAAGAAATATTCACTTGCAAAAAGGAAACCAAATTCTGGCTGATGGCTCTTTAACACTTTGAAAATTTATTCATATGAAAAAGAAAATCAAAGTCTAGAAGATGGTCCTTTAACACTTTGAAAATTCAATCATATGGAAAAGAAAACCAAATTCTAGCAGATGGC